GTGGTCAGTTAATCTAGTGTTCCACAAACATTTGCTGAATGCTAGGTGCTATGGGGATACAAAAGAACAAAGACTCTATAGTCTAGTAGAATAAAAATTCCAAAATATAGTGCTGTAGGAGTTGAAAGACAGGTATTAACATTTATTGCTGCCCTGCCATATGCCAGGTTCTTCACACCCATCATCTCAAGAGAGGCACTATTTTCCTCATGATGATTATACCCATTGTACTGATGAGTTTAGTGAGTTTCTCAGTCATACAAGGCTTAAACAGCACAGCCAGAACCTGAACCCCATCTTTCTGATTCCAAAATACATGCCACATCCTAATACCATGTGATCTCCTACAGAGCGGGATTATTAATTCCAACCTAGGGGGATGAGAAAAGCCTCCTGGGGGAGATATGAGCTCTGCTCTGTCTAAACTGGGGGCAGGGAGGAGAATAAGGTATTGCAGGAATAGAACAAGATAAAATTACAGAGATAATATAAAGTGAGTAATTTAATAAGTCTGAATAAATGGGCGCCTGGGTGGCTCAGTCGATTGAGTGTCTGACTCTTGATTTCCGCTTAGGTCACGATCTCGGGGGTGTGAGATCGAGCCCCGCTTTGGGCTCTGTGCTCAGCGGGGAGTCTGCTTTAGTTTCTCTCCCTCTCCCTTTGCGCCTCCCCCTCTGCCCCTTGCCCTGTTCATGCGCACTCTCTCTCTCTAAAATAAATAAAATAAAACAAATCTTTTAAAAAAAAATAGATTTGAGTAAAGTCAGTGTCAAGCCCAAAAAAGTAGGTTGAGGCCTATTCCTGGAGGATCTTGAATAGCTGGGTTGAACTTGGACTTTTTAGCTATTTAAAGTGTTTGAAACAGCATTTCTCACAGAATTAGAACAAACAATTCTAAAATTTCTATGGAACCACAAAAGACCCCGAAGAGCCACAGCAATCTTGAAAAAGAAAAACAAAACTGGAGATATCACAATTCCAAACTTCAAGCTATACTACAAAGCAATAGTAATTAAAACAGTATGGTACTGGCATAAAAATAGACACATAGATCAATGGAACGGAATAGAATAGAAAGCCCGGAAATAAACCCACAATTTTATGGTCAATTAATCTTTGACAAAGGAGGAATGAATATACAGTGGGGAATAGACAGTCTTTTCAACAAATGGTGTTGGGAAAACTGGACAGCCGCATGCAAAAGAATGAAACTGGATCACTTTCTTATACCATACATAAAAATAAACTCAAAATGGAATAAAGACCTAAGTGCGAGACCCGAAACCATAAAAATTCTTGAAGAGAGCACAGGCAGTAATTTCTCTGACATTGGCCATAGCAACATTTTTTCTAGATATGTCCCCTGAGGCAAGGGAAATAAAAGAAAAAATAAATTATTGGGACTAAATAAAAAATTTCTGGACAGTGAAGGAAACAATCAATAAAACAAAAGGCAACCTACAGAATGGGAGAATATATTTGCAAATGACATATCTAATAAAGGGTATTTATCCAAAATCTATAAAGAACAGATACAACTCAATACCCCAAAGATAAATAATCCAATTAAAAACGGGCAGAAGACATGAACAGACATTTCTCCAAAGAAAACATCTAGATGACCAACAGACATATGAGAAGATGTTCATCATCACTCATCATCAGGGAAATGAAAATCAAAACTTTAATGAGATATCACCTCACACCTGTCAGAATGGCTACAATTAAAAACACAAGAAACAAGTGTTGGCAAGGATGTGGAAAAAAAAGGAACCTTCTTGTGTTGTTGGTGGGAATGCAAACTGGTGCAGCTGCTGTGGAAAACAGTATGGAGGTTCCTCAAAAAATAAAAAATAGAACTACTCTACAATCCAGTAATCGCACTATTGGGTATTTACCCCCAAAATACAACACTAATTCAAAGGGATACGTGCACCCCTATGTTTATTGCAGCATTATTTACAGTAACCAAACTATGGAAGCAGCCCAAGTATCCATCAATAGATGAATGGATGAAGATGTAGTATATATATACACAATGGAATATTATTCAGCCATAAAAAAGAACGAAATCTTACCATTTGCAACAACATGGATAGAGCTAGAGAGTATAATGCTAAGTGAAATAAGTCAGCGAAAGACAAACACCATATGATTCCACAACAAACGAGCAAAGGAAGAGAGAGACAATCAAGAAAATTCTACTATAGAGAATAAACGAATGGTTACTAGAGGGGAGGTGGGGGGACGGGTGAAATAGAAGATGGGGAATAAAGAGTACACTTACCATGATGAAAAAAAATAAAGTGCCTGAGCAGGACTAGTAATATGCACAGGGAGGTTCTTTGTGAGGATGAATGGTGGCAGTGGTATGGTCTAGAGGTATACTGTCCAGTATGGTAGCCACTGGCTACCTGTGGCTATTTAAATGTAATTAAAATAAAATAAAACAAAAAAAAATCAGTTCCGCAGTTGCACTAGCTACATTTCAAGTGCTCAATAGCCACATGCAGCAGAGGTCACCCTACTGAACAGTGCAGGTATAAAACATTTCCATCATCACAGAAAGTTCTATTGGACAGGAGAGACTGAGGCAAAAAGTCCAAGTGGAGACCATTATTATTACTGTAGTTTAGGGCAAAAGTAATCAAGTCATAACTCGTAGGAGGGACCACAGTGAGGATGGCTAGTAGGACAGCAGGAAACCTGTCTTACAGGGCTTATCACATGACTGGCAAAAGGCATTGGGTAAAACACATGATTTCCTTATTGGTTTTTGTTGTTGTTGTCTGGAGTATGTCATCTCTGGAGTTTATCCAGCTTCATTATGTCTTTGTGGATTTCTTAGAAACCCTAGTGGTTCATTTTCATGCACTAGCAGGACACTTGTGACAAAGTATGATGACAAGATGCTCCTATTTACTAGAGGCAGATGCAGTTTGATGTGGAGAAAGTGGTGCATTTCAGAAAAAAGTTATCAAACTACACTGATGGGATAATATACCTTTCAGCTGAGACACAGTGCGAGGCGGGTGGGGGTCTCTGTTACTGATTCTGAAGGCATCAGTGTGATGAGCCTCTGTACACAGTGTGATCAACAACATGCTAAGCTCTACCCATAATCTTGAAGGTAAGTGTCCACTTATAAAACAATTCCCTGGGGTGCCTGGGTGACTCAGTCAGTTAAGTCTCTGACTCTTGATTGTCCCAGCGCTGGGCTTGTGCTGGGTGTGCAGCCTGCTTGAGATTCTCTCTCTGCCCCTACATCCCCCTTGTGCATGCTCGATCTCTTAAAAAAAAAAAAAAAAAAAAGAATGAAAAAGAAAAAAAAAGAAGACAATTCCCTGTTGCTTCCTGACATCAGACAAAAGATTTAGGTGGGTTGACCATGGGTCCAAAGTTCTTAACATTTCATTTTCTTATTCTAAAATGTGATTCTGGGCATCGGGCTTCCCTACTAACTAACAAATTATTTTAATCTGTGTAGCCCACACTTGGTTCCACACAAATAGCGTCAGCATCATCTGAGAACGTGTTAGAAATGCAAATTCTCAGGCCCTACCTAGCAAGACTTAATTATCAGAAACTCTAAGGATGGGCCAGCAGTTGGTTTAAGAAACCCTCCAGGTGATTCAGATACATAGTCAAGTATGGGGACCACTGTAAATGCAGCCAATTATCTTTACTTGGTCAGTCTTTCTGTGCTAACTTTGGGGGCATTGTTAAAAACAGACACTTTTGACATAGCCCCTGCATCCCACATACTACCCCTGTCTATCCGGCCATCTATTGATTCATTTACATAATGTGTTGAAAATATTTTAAAAAGCCAAGAATAAAAAATTTAAATAAAACCCAATTTTCTGACTACTGACCTGATAGAGATGAAATCCTGAACCTTAGTTTAGTTGTAAGAATATCTTTCCCCTCATAGCCTCATCTTTCTTGTATTCTCTATAATCATGGTAAGGTAAAATTCACTTCCAAAATTTCAAATAAGCATTTGTAATTCCATCAGACACAGCAGCCCTTTGCCCGTTACTACCTCATTTTTATAGGGAATGTATTTGGAATATACAAAAGGCACAGGCGAGGTGCATTGCTTTTAATACCCTTCAGTCACGCTGTCTGGTGGCTGGGGATGAATAGTAAGTCGACAGCCCTCAAGGAGCTGACCATCGGACACATAAAAAACTACCTTTAGGGCGCCTGGGTGGCTCAGTTGGTTAAGCGATTGCCTTCGGCTCAGGTCATGATCCTGGAGTTCCTGGATAGAGTCCCATTTCGGGCTCCCTGCTCGGGAGTATGTCATCTCTGGAGTTTGTCCAGCTTCATTATGTCTTTGTGGATTTCTCCCTCTGACCCTCCCTCTGACCCTTCTCCTTCTGACCCTCCCCCCTCTCATGTGCTCTCTCTTTCTCTCTCTCTCTCGAATAAATAAATAAAATCTTAAAAAAAAAAAAAACTACCTTTAATGCGACTTGGTGAGACTATTACCAGTGGGGTGTGTTGGAGAGAAACTCGCTATCGGGGTGGGGATGTTGGAGAAGCCTTCAAAGGGGGGTCACTGATATATTAACAAGAGTCAAGAGAAAGGGGCCAAAACAGGTGGGAGTGGGGGCTCAGTCCGAAGGAACAAATGAACAGAGCAGTGAGGTCTGAAAGCAGAAAGCGCGCCTGGGCACAGAGGGTGGGGTGGTAGGGAGAGGCCTCGGGCTGCAGACAACTCAGACTAACGAGCCTGCAAGAATTCGGTTGCAAATCGCACGCATTGCCTCTAGTCCTTGCGTTGCGGTTCCGCGGCCTTTCCTAAGTAGAAACGGTGCCTCTGAGAGAGAAGCTCTCGGGGACTACCGGCATTCATTCATTTCACAAACACTGACTGAGCGCCCCGCGACGCGTCTGGCCCTGCGGGTGACGGACGCAGCCCCCGCCCGGGGACTTCGAAGGGTAACGAGGAGCTGGTGCCCCGCACCCGGTTGCCCCCGTCCCGCTCAAACCTGCGGCGCCCGGCCCCCGGCGGCTCCCGGCCGCGGCTCCACCTGGTTCCCTGCGGGGGCGCGAGTGCGGGCGCTGGGGTCGGACGCTGCTCTGGCCCGGCTGGCGGCGCTGTAGACGCGGACGCCGGCGGTTCCCGAGCCGTTGAGGCCGAACCCGCGGGCGTTGTGGTGGGCAGGGGACCGGAGTTCGGGCGAGGAACGGCAGCAGGGGCAGCAGCGGTGGGGAGCCTGGAGGTGGGGGTACCCAGGCCGGGGAAGCCCCTTAACCTGTGCCATCTGGGCCTCCACTTGCTTTGGGGTTTGACTGCTCTTGACTGGGGGCCTTCTTGATGCCAGGCCTCGTGCCCCGCACTTCACACACAGTAATTCACTTAAGTCACCCTATGACCTTGTCAGGTCAGAAGACGCAGGAGGAAACTGGAGGCTAGAAGGTCACTCAGGTCTCCAGCCTTAACTCTCTTCCCCGCAAGACTGGCTCCTCCCACTGAAGGACAGTCTCCTGCCCAGGTCTCTTGCTGGGCTCCCCCCAACGCCCCGCCCTTTAACCTTCTGAAGTTGACTCAGTCCCTGTCACTGTCTCTAACTACGCCCTGTAGTCCTGCTTGGCCCAGTTGCAGTTTTACATTTGCTCGATTACTGTATTAATGTCTAACACATTCACTTTACCTATTCCTTCCTTTTTGTAGATTGTCATCCAATAAGGCAGGATTTTTATCTCTCATTAACTGCTATATTATCAGTGCCTAAACAATATGGTGGGTATAGTAAGTGCTCAATAAATCGTAAACCCCATGTAGGCGGCAACTGTGTTTTTGAAAGGACTTTAATCAGAAGTGCCTGGCCCCGACTAGGCATTCAATACATACTTGTTGAATGAGTGACTGAATGTGCTGCTTACTTCATTTTTGCCCTTTCAGTCACTCTCACCTCACTATCCCAATTTTTTGGATAATTATATGAATTCCTTAGGATTCCTACTTCCGAGTTTCCTCCCTTGTATCCATCCACTCATCACCTTGATTCCCCACTCCCACCCGCCATTTCTTCACAGTCACATTTTTGCTCTCACTTTCTCCTTCAACCTTCATTACTTCTTGGAAAGTTCCCTAACCCGCAGGTGGGCTTGGAACATTTTCAAGCAGCATGTCTTCATCGGGGAGAGAATCCAGGCTAAGCCACACTGAATCCCCCAAGAAAAGCTTTCCATGAATCACCCATGATTCTGGTTTTTGTTTTTGTTTTTCCTTGAGGAGAACTGAGGATTCTGCACCACCTCCTAAATTGAGATCATGGTCATTATTCATAATTTGTCCAATAAATATTTATGGGGTACCTATTATGTTCCAGGCACTTGCTAGATGCTGGGACAAGATAGGCAAAATCCAAGGGATGCGTAACACCAAAGAGAATAATCATGGTAAGTGCTGAGAAGTGTCCTGGCTTGGACCCAGTTACTTCTAAGAGAGACTGTGACAAGCTTTAACAAAGGAATACATTGGTAACAGTGGGGGTAGGTATGGGGTTATAATATCTTGCCCATTCACACTTTATTATCTTGTTCGGCTTTACAAATGACCCTATTAGGTGGGAATGTAAGGCAGGAATTATTTTTGCAGAAACTAGAACGAGGGTCTAAGAAAGGTCAATTGACTTGCCTAATGCGACACTGCCAGAGGACCACTCTCTGCCTTGCTCTCCTTAATCTGAGAGGCATGAATCAAATGCCTAAAATCGTCTTCACTGGAAGCTTTGGAGCAGGATTCAGTTTCAAACTCTCAGAGTAATGTTTTCAAAAATCCTTGTCAAAGGGAGATACCGGAGACTTTCCTGAATCAGAACTACCTGGGGCATATAGTAAAAATGCGCGTTCTTGGTGCCTCACGGACCTATCCACTTAAACGCCCTGTGGGTCCTGGGACTTTGCATTTTTAAACACCCAAAGTGATTCTTCTGCACATAAAAGTTTAAGAACGCTAGGAGAGTTTGGATGGAAAACCTCAGGCTCAATGCAGAGCTAATATTTACTTTTGGGATAGAGTTCCTCACAATCCGAAGATTAAGCCGTATGTCCTTGAGCAGATGGAATACAACAGCTTTCTGGCCAGAACTTTCCTTTTTTAAATGTAAGTATATCTTGGAAATTGGGGGTTCCGCTGAGCAGATGCTCGGCTGCTGGTGACTACGGGCAGTTCAAAGAACTTTTGGCTCTTTTCCCGACACCCTATTAGTCACTGTCGCTTTCCACCGTGGAGCCAGGCATTTGCCCCGCCGACCACGGAGGGGCGCACGCGGCATACGTTGCCACCTTATCCCTTCCTTCCCGGGTCCGCCTTCGCGCCGTTAAGAACAGTCCCTGAGAGTTCCTGCCTCTGGTCGCCAGCTGTTGCTCTTTTCTCGCGAGAAGTGCTCCTCCCATCCTCTCCCGTCGTCAACCCCCTCCCATGGGCAGGTTCCATATTGGGTAAAATCTCGGCTCGCGGAGAGTCCCGGGAGCTGTTCCCGCGAGAGTACGGCAAGAGGCTCCTGTTCGCTGGCTCTGGAACGGCGACCACTGGAAGCTCAGTGGGCGCTGCAGCTGGAGTCGTAGTTCCTCGGCGCAGCCCGAAGTCGGCCTGGTCGGGGAGAGGGTGCAGGGAGAGCGTGGTGGGCGCAGCCTTGAGCCCCGTAGCGTGCCCTTGCCCTTAGCCGGGCTCGCCCCCGTCGCTGAGGCGCGTCCAGCAGCTGCGGCTGACAGGGGCCGCGCGCGCGGGAGTCGGCGGGGTCGCGTCTGCCGCACCTGCGCCGACTGCCAGCTGCGGGTCCCCGCCGGGCCGGGCGGGCGACGAGGGCCGGGGAGCGGGTGCGGGCTCAGGCGGGGCCCCTCAGGGCCACCTCCTAGCCCCGCGGCCGCGGCTGGAAGATGTCTCAGGAGAGGCCCACGTTCTACCGGCAGGAGCTGAACAAGACAATCTGGGAGGTGCCCGAGCGTTACCAGAATCTGTCCCCGGTGGGCTCCGGTGCCTATGGCTCCGTGTGGTGAGTGTCACCGGGCTTGGGTCTGCGGTGGGCTGAGTGGCCCTTAATACCCTAGAGCCAGGCCTGCCCCCACAGCTCAGCGATGCACCAAGCGGCAGGAATTTTCCTTGGGGGAGGGCATCGCTGCCCCTTCGACCCATGTCCTGCACTCCTTGCACCCCTCACTCTGCACCCAGAGGTAGGGTGGTCAGCTGTGTGCAGGATGCAGGTCCACGGTGGCCTGTGATGTCGGGGCTCGGCCCTGGCTCGCACTCTGCGCGAGCTCTTCTTGGGGGGTTGCTGCTCCGGGGGCTGGCACGGAGGCGGGGGTGTCTCTTCGCGGGTCTCCCTGCCAGCATCGAGCAGAAAGATCCTCTCCGGAGGTGCGCCCACTTTGGGCGCCGAAGCCTGCTCTCAAAGCGGACAAGCCCGGGGAGCTGCAGGGAGAAGCAGAAGGGCAAAGCTCGACCAGGAGACTGCGGTTGTCCGGACAAAACTGACGACGAAGGGCGTCTGTCCGGGCTTTTCTGCAGACCTCTTTCGAAATCTCATTTTGAGAAGCATTCGTTTTGAATTCGCACTTGCATTAGCAGAGACCCATAGAACCTAAAATACCGACTTTATCTCGGCCAGCATAGTGCCAGCTTGAGTGGTGTGTTTCCGATTCGGTTGAAAGCGTATTTCCTTTTCGCAGAGTGGGGGTGGGTGGTAGTGCTTGCAAGAACACTGCAGCTTGAGAAACTGGCGGCCTCACTGATTAGTCACATACCACTGCTCATTTAAGTATTGTTTGGCAAAACAATTTTCTCATTTGGAGCGAGTGAGATTCAGATCCGTTGGACGCGCTCAAGATCAAAAAGTTATTAACCATGCTGTGAGGTATTGTAAATATTTTTTAATTGCAATACATCTTGTGAATATTGCGTTTTTAAAGTCCCTTAAAGAGTTTGCAGGGAACCTACATTTGTAGACTGAGGTACGCGGTGGTTTTCGTAAAGATGTGGAGTATATAGCAAAGGAAGGAAGAGACCCTTCTCACCTTTAACTCTCACTGTGTGTTTTAAATTAAATTGATACCAAAAAATTTCTGGATCTGAAATATTTCACTAATATAGGTATTACACAGTATATTTTAGATTTACTGTAGCTTGAGAGCTGCTGATTTGAAACTAATTCATGTATTCATGTGCATGCATCGTTTGAAAAGGGCTCTATAAAATTATTTTTTGTTTTGGAACAAATTCCAGACTTTTGAATGTGTTAATCTTTATAATTCCTGTGTTTCTGAAAGTCACATCATGAATTTCCTGTTTGGTAGAATCTTCTGGGTAATTGAGATTGTGCAATTGTGTCAAGCAACAGATCATATTGCATTTTCTAGTTCAGGCTGCGTGAGTTAATGTTGCTGATGGCCCCATGCTTGACATCTTTTCCCCATTTTTATAATATGGCAGTTTACATTTTAAGGGAATTTGCAACATTTTATTATATATATGCATATATGTGCGTGTGATTGATTTGCAAATTTTCAAAGATTTATTTGGATCATTGTTCCTTTAATAGCTTACTCTTTTACCTCTATTTTTCATTCTTCAGTTGACATTAATTTTTGTAGTACCAAGTTTTTGTTTCCAATGATGTTTAAACTTTAATGAAATGATACAGCAGAATAGCTCAACTATGGGGAGTTTAGTGAACTTGAAAAGAACTGCTTGCAAGGTTTTCCTACTGTTAGTATGGATAACTCTGCACTGGAACTGAAGATTCAGATTAACATTGAAGTGTCATAAAAATGACCTTTACATTTCTTCAGTACTATACTTTTCTGGCTTACAGAAGCCAGCAGTATCTGACACTTGGAAGTAATTTTGCCAAACAGATTTTTAAAAGTAGGTAATATGTTCACATTGTATAAAATTCAAAAGGCTCAAGGATATTTAATGAAAGGTATCCTTTCCTTTCTTGTTCTCCAACCTTGCTATTCCTTTCCTCAGAGACAACCATTGTTAAGTTTTGTATGTGTTTTTACAGGATGGCAGAGTTTGTTCCCCCGCCTTTTTTTAGTAGTAGTTTTGCTAAGGGATTTAAAGTGTAACCTTTGGTATATTGGTGGAGAAAAGTACATCTGATATTATGTGACAATTGACTGTAAACAAATGTAACTGATTTTGGATTGAAAATATCAGAATTTAGATCTACAAGTAAGTGGTATCTCATTCAGAATTATTTGAAGTTGTTCTTTCAATTAGCAGTTTTTTGGGTGTTGCAGAAAACTTTTATTATTTATTTTTTAAATTTCTCTTAGTATCCATTCTGGAGCCCGTGTTATTTTTCACTACCATCATCCTTTGAGAACAGATTTGATTTTAGGGAATAACACAATCAAACTGAATTCAAATAATTTAGAGACTTTGTACTCAAGTCTGGTGAAAAAGATTAGGCATTCAGGTTGGTCATACTGTTTTAGGTCAAATAGGAGTTGTAACTATAAAGTAATGACCGAATTTCTTGTGTGACTTGTAGAACTGGATCTGAAGTCTGTTCCAAAAAAGAATCTCTGAAAGTATTTTGAGGAATACAACCTCACTGAAATAGGTGTCAGTTTCCTAATTTGATTGTTCCAAAGTGTGATATACTTTGATGTATGACTTAAAAATTTTTTATATTAAGCCTATTTTCGTTATTTTAATTTGTGCTAAGTATGTGGTAAAAAAGCAAGTAGCAGCCTGTATGATAACCAACTGTGAATCCAAGATCAAGGAATCAGACTAGAAATTGAGAATTGATAAGGTTTTATAAATATGCTTTTCCTTTGTAAGGGCTAAAGGGAACTAAATAAGTCTTGCAGTTTCAAGGAACTTTGTACATTGTCTGTGAGGGGAAATGAAGCAAAATTGTTTAAGAATACTTTGTTGCAAAGCATTGATTTTTTTTTTTTGTTTGGGGACCGAAGGGGGGACTCTTTGTGGTGAGTTTAAGGAAATATAAACAGGAACTTAAATGCCTTTCCTCTGGGTATGGTTTTTCCAGACCCTTGCTGTTGATTAGGGGAGGTGGGGCCCTGGTAGCCATAAAAGAGGTGAGAGTTGAGAATTACTCTTAAGTCATAGTCATTTGTTTATTCAACAATATTGAGTACCGACTATGGACTAGATAACGGGCTAGGTTTCATGAGCTAGAGCGCTGAGCAAGACAGAGTGAGATAATCCATTCCCTTGTTGAGCTTATAGCCTAATGCGAATAATAACTATATTTTATGGATTGCTTACTGTGTTCTAGGCATTTTGCTGTGTAGTTTATATTTATCATCCGTATATAAAGCATATACAAGATTTTTAGTAAAAGGATGGCAAAATTTACTAAGAAATCAAATCCAGCTTCCTAAAAGCTTTGTGGAATAAGACTGTATATACATAAATATAAATAAACAAAGGTAAGTTTTAGTGTTAATAGCCATTCACTGTTTTAAATCTTTTCTTTTTTTTCTTTGAGGATGAGCCAGGGCACAGATAAATGAAAATAGATCATTGTTGACTATGCAAAGATGACTTTCTTGACTCCTGATCAGTAAGAGGGCTTGCCCTTTATTTTTCCAGTGGCAGTGATAGACCCGTACTGATCTTTCTTCCCATTTGCTTTTCTTTGTAATCAAAAGCAAGGTGATTGGCTGCATGTCACCAGTACCAACAAATAAATATTTAAAGATAATGGCAAATATTTATATTATATATGAAGACTTTTAAAAAAGAATTCAGTCAAATTTGTTATAAAGTTATATTTTATTTATCAAATCCCATATTTTACTGATGCTTTTCTACTGGCTCACATTTAAAAATAAGGGTATTCTGAACCTCTGACTTTTCAGTTCTGCCAGTTTAATTTCTTGATACTGAAGAGTACTCTGTTTTTGATTTCTCTCTAACTCAGCTTTAGGGATGATCTGTGTGTTGACTTTGCCTTTCATGGGCAACAGTACAGATGGCGCTGAGCCCCTGAAGCTTTGGATTCAAAGGTAGAAGAATTCACTGGGCTAGATCACTCTCATTTTAGTATAAATTGGCATTTTTATGGCATTTTACACTATGAAGTATTTTCATTGGAAGCATCATCATTCTTCACTGGTTCTCTGTTATTAACGCAGTTATGTAGATGAAGAACTGTACTCATTCACTGAAGGAATGGCTTACTTGTCAGTGGTGCTTTGGATTTGGTTCTGGGGTTTCAACACTTTAGAAGGCTTTACATATAGGCTGCTGAGTTTGTGTGATGGTACCTTCTTTTGTGCTGTTTGTACTTACCTTTTTGTGAAGAAAGGGGTTGCTGGGTCACTTGCAGTAGAGCTGTGACTGTACAGAACCAATCCCACCAGTGTCATTGCCTAGCTAATCTGAGGGGTAGTGACTTGACTTGTTAAAGGTTAAAGTCACACCTCTTCCTCAGAATTGATAGACCAAAAAATGAACTCATTGCCCAGATCAACTTTTTCCCCCAAGTAATTATTAGGCAGTGCAAATAATTTAATTCCTGAATTTATGAATCCTGTTGGTTTGAAATTCTTCAGTGTGCATTTTGTAAAGTTGGGACTATCTGTACATGTTTGTGTTATGTAAGTATAGGATGTTAATAGAAAAAACTGCCTCTCCAGGCCTTTGAAAATACATTAGATTTTGGCTCTTTACTGTGAAATTTGGTATTGATTTGTTCCTATCCAAGAGGTATCATTACTGTAATACTCAATAAAAACTTCATTGTAAAGTGGGTTTCCCTGACTTAGGGAACCTAGGGATTTTATCTCACAGTCACCATGTACTTGGAAGTCATGCACATATGTCTTCAGGACAAAAACAACAACAACAACAACAACAACAACAAACTCTTTAAACTTGAAATGTTTTTGTGTAAATAAAGCTTTCCGTATAGGAAGTTTGACTTTGCACAGGGTTTCCGTAAATTAAGTGCATGTGTGTTAAAGATTTATAAAATGAACCAGTTTTCCAGCATTTCAGCCTGTTAAGAATTTA